AAAGTATTCAACAGCTCTACCCCCAAGACTGCTGGGAAATTCCCCAAACACATTTTGAAAATATTCTGGATCCACCAAAACCCTGGGGCTGGTCATTCAAATTGACCCATCCTTCCTGTGGAGGCTGGTGGCTGCAGTTGACTCTGTAGTCATGAGGCAATTATCTATGCATGACAAATGATTGATGGTAATGTCTCATTACTCAGACCATGTCTCATCTGCTCCAAGGAAAAAACACTAAGTCTACTGTGCAGTCAGCTATGTGGTTCAGGCCACTCTTTCCATGATTTTACACTTCTTGCCAATCCACAGTGACTTCCTTTCCATTATATAACAATAATTTATTAAACTTGTATATGCATCTGTTATTATCATCATCATCATCATCATCATCATTATTATTATTATTATTATTATTATTATTATTAAATACAGAGCACAGTGTATCATATGCCAATAAAGCTAAACTGATATCGGTATTTGGGTCTTATGTCATGTTATTCAATGTTCTAGCCAAAATGGATTTCCAAAAATCATCATTTTTCCTCAGAAATACCTGTTGCCATTTTAATTTCCACTCACGATGAATATCCAATTCATGTGAAACCCAGTAGTATTATGCCAGAATCCCACATTAGGATTACAGACATAAGTTCATGGTCAATATTCTTTCTAGTAGTAACAAAATTATCTGAGAATGAATCACCTTTTTCTTTTGATACATAGAAATATAGATCTAGATGATGTAGGAAGATGGAGGTAGAGGTAGAGGTAGATGCAAAGAGAGGGAGGGAGGGAAGAGAGAACATTACTAAAATTTGCTGAATGGTAAGTGAATTAATATATGATATTTAGGGTTTTGCCCTGTGATATCTGCACACCAAATTTACACATCAGTGAAACAAAGATTATTTTACTGGTTTTGTTTTCTTTATCCTTTAGTACCAATAAGTCACACGTTACCTTATGACCAAGAACAATTATAAATGCTTTTAGTAATCTTAAAGATATTTTCTAAATATTATTTTATCTTATGTTTTTATATTATCTTACATCCAAGGAATGTAATAATTGCAACTGTAAAAACTTATGTGTATGCCATAGTCTGTTTTAAGCAAGCGTATGTGTGTGTGTATGTTCCTTGTAACCATCCCTATGCTCTAAGATGAAAAAATAAAACAGTTCAGACACACTTACTAAATGGACCAAGTTTGGATTCAACTCATCGTTGACTGACAAACAGTCCCGGTTATCACTTATACTGTCAAGTTAAACTTAATGGAAAAAAGGAGAGATCCATGTACATTGTCTGGAGCTCCTTAGAAGGAAGTTAATTATTGACAGTCTAGGAACTGGCATTGAGTTTCAAAAAGTTACTTCAAACAAGACCCTTACTTAGCACACCCACATATAACAATAGCATGTATTCACAATAGAAAGAATAGACAATATACATGGATAGAGTATTTCCTAGTCACATTCATCCACAGTGACAGACAGGTTGAACTCTACATTTTCCAATAAAGAAATAAATAAAATGCTAAACCACAGTTCTTCTTTTATCTCAAATACAGTGCCCTCAGAAATATTTTTTTCAGGGCATTTTTAATGTCTTTGTTTCTAAATGTATAGATCAAAGGGTTTAGCATGGGAGTGACAATGCTATAAAGGACAGAAATTAGTCGGTCTTTCTCCAATGAGTATGTTGATATTGGCCGGACATAGGTGAAAATGGCACTTCCGTAATACAAGATGACAATAGTCAGGTGTGAGGTGCAGGTGGAGAAAGCTTTGATCCTCCCTTCATTAGACTGTATCTTCATGATTGTGGAGATGATGTAGATGTAAGAGAGGACAATGCAGACAAATGGAGTCCATCCTATAAATATCCCAGCAACAAGCAAAGTGATCTCATTTGCTGAGGTGTCTCCACATGAAAGCTTTAGAAGGGGAGGAATATCACAAAAGAAATAATTGATCTGATTAGTCCCACAGAATGGCAGATGGAATGCAAAGTAAGTGTGAAGGGCTGAATTGAAAAATCCACCTGCCCAACAGGCACCAGATAACTGCACACAAAAGGCTTTCTTCATGATGAAAATATATTTTGAAGGGTGGCAGATGGCTGCAAAGCGATCATAGGCCATTGCAGCTAGAAGGATGCATTCAGTGCCCACAAAGGAGACAAAAAAGTAGAGTTGAGTTGCACATCCAGCATATGTGATACTCTTCTTTTGTGCCATGAGGTGCACAAGTATCTGGGGGACATTGGTGGTGGTATAACAGATGTCCAGAAAAGAGAGATTCCCTAGGAAGAAGTACATGGGAGTATGAAGCTGTGGGTCCAGGCAAGCAACAGTGAGGATGGAGATGTTCCCTAACAGAATACAAATATATGTGACAAGAAAGATAAAGAAGAGTAACAGCTGCAACTCCTGAAGACCAGAGAAGCCCAAGATGAGGAATTCTGTTGGAGCAGTTTCATTCATCATTGTTTCAGAATTTGCTCATATCTGTTTTACCATGAAATAAGAAAGACAACAGTATTATGACATTAAAAGCTTTTTTTCCCCCCATGT